CATAGTGTGTGCAAAATAGCAAGAACAAGGGCCTAGCGTGTGCAAAATAAAAAGAACAATGGCCTAGCGTGTGCAAAATAAAAAGAACAAGGGGCTAGCGTATGCAAAATTGCAAGAACAAGGGCCTAGAGTGTGCAAAGTTGCAAGAACAAGGGCCTAGCGAGTGCAAAATAGCAAGAGCAAGGGCCTAACGTGTGCAAAAAATCAAGAACAAGGGCCTAACGATCGCAAAATAGCAAGAGCAAGGGCCTAGCGTGTGCAAAATAAAAAGAACAAGGGTCTAGCATGTGCAAAATTGCAAGAACAAGGGCCTAGCGTGTGCAAAATAAAAAGAACAAGGGCATAGCGTGTGCAAAATAGCAAGAACAAGGGCCTAGCGTTTGCAAAATAAAATGAACAAGGGCCTAGCATGTGCAAAATTGCAAGAAAAAGAGCCTAGCGTGTGCAAAATTGCAAGAACAAAGGCCTAGCGAGTGCAAAATAGCAAGAGCAAGGGCCTAGCGTGTGTAAAAAATCAAGAGCAAGGGCCTAGCGTGTGAAAAAAAAAAAAAAAAAAAAACAAGGGCCTAGCGTGTGCAAAATAAAAGGAACAAGGGCCTAGCGTGTACAAAATTGCCAGAACAAGGGCCTAGCGTGTGCAAAATTGCAAAAACAAGGGCCTAGCGAGTGCAAAACAGCAAGAGCAAGGGCAAAGCGTGTGCAAAAAATCAAGAACAAGGGACTAGCGTGTGCAAAATAGCAAGAGCAAGGGCCTAGCGTGTGCAAAAAATCAAGAACAAGGGCCTAGTGTTCGCGAAATAGCAAGAGCAAGAGCCTAGCGTATGCAAAATAAAAAGAACAAGGGTCTAGCATGTGCAAAATTGCAAGAACAAGGGCCTAGCGTGTGCAAAATAAAAAGAACAAGGGCATAGCGTGTGCAAGATTGCAAGAACAAGGGCCTAGCTTGTGCAAAGTAAAAAGAACAAGGGCCTAGCGTGTGCAAAATAAAAAGAACAAGGGCCTAACGTGTGCAAAATAAAAAGAACAAGGGCCTAGCGTGTGCAAAATTGCAACAACAATGGCCTAGCGAGTGCAAAATAGCAAGAACAAGGACCTAGCATGTGCAAAAAATCAAGAACAAGGGCCTAGCATTCGCGAAATTGCAAGAACAAGGGCCTAGTGTGTGCAAAATAAAAGGAACAAGGGTCTAGCATGTGTAAAATTGCAAGAACAAGGGCATAGCGTGTGCAAAATAGCAAGAACAAATGCCTAGCGTGTGCAAAATAAAAAGAACAAGGGCCTAGCGTGTGCAAAACAAAAAGAACAAGGGCCTAGCGTGTGCAAAATTGCAAGAACAAGGGCCTAATGTGTGCAAAATTGCAAGAACATGGGCCTAGCGAGTGGAAAATAGCAAGAACAAGGGCCTAGCGTGTGCAAAAAAGCAAGAGCAAGGGCCTAGCGCGTGCAAAAAATCAAGAACAAGGGCCTAGCGTTCGCGAAATAGCAAGAACAAGGGTCTAGCGTGTGCAAAATAAAAAGAACAAGGGCATGGCATGTGCAAAATAGCAAGAACAAGGGCCTGGTGGGTGCAAAATTAAAAGAACAAGGGCCTAACGTGTGCAAAATAAAAAGAACAAGGGCCTAGCGTGTACAGAATCGCAAGAACAAGGGCCTAGCGTGTGCAAAATTGCAAATACAAGGGCCCTAGCGAGTGCAAAACAGCAAGAGCAAGGGCCTAGCGTGTGCAAAAAATCAAGAACAAGGGCCTAGCGTTCGCGAAATAGGAAGAACATGGGCCTAGCGTGTGCAAAATAAAAAGAACAAAGGTCTAGCATGTGCAAAATTGCAAGAACAAGGGCCTAGCGTGTGCAAAATAAACAGAACAAAGGCATAGCGTGTGCAAAATAAAAATAACACGGGCATAGCGTGTGCAAAATAAAAAGAACAAGGGCCTAGCGTGTGCAAAATTGCAAGAACAAGGGCCTAGCGTGTGCAAAATTGCAAGAACAAGGGCCTAGCGAGTGCAAAATAGCAAGAGCAAGGGCCTAGCGTGTGCAAAAAATCAAGAACAAGGGCCTAGCGTTCGCGAAATAGCAAGAACAAGGGCCTAGCGTGTGCAAAATAAAAAGAACAAGGGTCTAGCATGTGCAAAATTGCAAGAACAAGGGCCTAGCGTGTGCAAAATAAAAAGAACAAGGGCATAGCGTGTGCAAAATAGCAAGAACAAGGGCCTAGCATGTGCAAAATATAAGAACAAGGGCCTAGCGTGTGCAAAATAAAAAAAACAAGGGCATAGCGTGTGCAAAATAAAAAGAACAAGGGCCTAGCGTGTGCAAAATAGCAAGAACAAGGGCCTAACGTGTGCAAAAAATCAAGAACAAGGGCCTAGCGATCGCGAAATAGCAAGAGCAAGGGCCTAGCGTGTGCAAAATAAAAAGAACAAGGGTCTAGCATGTGCAAAATTGCAAGAACAAGGGCCTAGCGTGTGCAAAATAAAAAGAACAAGGGCATAGCGTGTGCAAAATAGTAAGAACAAGGGCCTAGCATGTGCAAACTAAAATGAACAAGGGCCTAGCGTGTGCAAAATTGCAAGAACAAGGGCCTAGCGTGTGCAAAATTGCAAGAACAAGGGCCTAGCGAGTGCAAAATAGCAAGAGCAAGGGCCTAGCGTGTGTAATAAATCAAGAACAAGGGCCTAGCATTCGCGAAATAGCAAGAACAAGGGCCTAGCGTGTGCAAAATAAAAAGAACAAGGGTCTAGCATGTGCAAAATTGCAAGAACAAGGGCCTAGCATGTGCAAAATATAAGAACAAGGGCCTAGCGTGTGCAAAATAAAAAGAACAAGGGCCTAGCGTGTGCAAAATTGCAAGAACAAGAGCCTAGCCTATGCAAAATTGTAAGAACAAGGGCCTAGCGAGTGCAAAATAGCAAGAGCAAGGGCCTAGCGTGTGCAAAAAAACAAGAACAAGGGCATTGTGTTCGCGAAATAGCAAGAACAAGGGCCTAGCGTGTGCAAAATAAAAAGAACAAGGGCATAGCGTGTGCAAAATAGCAAGAACAAGGGCCTAGCGTGTGCAAAATAAAAAGAACAAGGGCCTAGCGTGTGCAAAATAGCAAGAACAAGGGCCTAGCGTGTGCAAAATTGCAAGAACAAGGGCCTAGCGTTTGCAAAATTGCAAGAACAAGGGCCTAGCGAGTGCAAAATAGCAAGAGCAAGGGCCTAGCGTGTGCAAAAAATCAAGAACAAGGGCCTAGCGTTCGCGAAATAGCAAGAACAAGGGCCTAACGTGTGCAAAATAAAAAGAACAAGGGTCTAGCATGTGCAAAATTGCAAGAGCAAGGGCCTAGCATGTGCAAAATAAAAAGAACAAGGGCGTAGCGTGTGCAAAATAAAAAGAACAAGGGCATAGCGTGTGCAAAAAAAAAAGAACAAGGGCCTAGCGTTTGCAAAATAAGAAGAACAAGGGCCTAGCGTGTGCAAAATTGCAAGAACAAGGGCCTAGCGTGTGCAAAATTGCAAGAACAAGGGCCTAGCGAGTGCAAAATAGCAAGAGCAAGGGCCTAGCGTGTGCAAAAAATCAAGAACAAGTGCCTAGCGTTTGCGAAATTGCAAGAACAAGGGCCTAGCGTGTGCAAAATAAAAAGAACAAGGGCATAGCGTGTGCAAAATAGCAAGAACAAGGGCCAAGCGTGTGCAAACTAAAAAGAACAAGGGCCTAGCGTGTGCAAAATAGCAAGAACAAGGGCCTAGCGTGTGCAAAATTGCAAGAAGGGCCTAGCGTGTGCAAAATTGCAAGAACAAGGGCCTAGCGAGTGCAAAATAGCAAGAGCAAGGGCATAGTGTGTGCGAAAAATCAAAAACAAAGGCCTAGCGTTCGCGAAATAGCAAGAACAAGGGCCTAACATGTGCAAAATAAAAAGAACAAGGGTCTAGCATGTGCAAAATTGCAAGAACAAGGGCCTAGAGTGTGCAAAATAAAAAGAACAAGGGCATAGCGTGTGCAAAATAGCAAGAACAAGGGCCTAGCATGTGCAAAATACAAGAACAAGGGCCTAGCGTGTGCAAAATAAAAAGAACAAGGACCTAGCGTGTGCAAAATTGCAAGAACAAGGGCCTAGCGTGTGCAAAATTGCAAGAACAAGAGCCTAGCGAGTGCAAAATAGCAAGACCAAGGGCCTAGCGTATGCAAAAAATCAAGAACAAGGGCCTTGTGTTCGCGAAATAGGAAGAACAAGGGCCTAGCGTGTGCAAAATAGCAAGAACAAGGGCCTAGCGTGTGCAAAATTGCAAGAACAAGGGCCTAGCGTGTGCAAAATTGCAAGAACAAGGGCCTAACGAGTGCAAAATAGCAAGAGCAAGGGCCTAGCGTTCGCGAAATAGCAAGAACAAGGGCCTAGCGTGTGCAAAATAAAAAGAACAAGGGTCTAGCATGTGCAAAATTGCAAGAACAAGGGCCTAGCGTGTGCAAAATAAAAAGAACAAGGGCATGGCGTGTGCAAAATAAAAAGAACAAGGGCCTAGCGTGTGCAAAATAGAAAGAACAAGAGCCTAGCGTGTGCAAACTTGCAAGAACAAAGGCCTAGCGTGTGCAAAATTGCAAGAACAAGGGCCTAGCGAGTGCAAAATAGCAACAGCAAGGGCCTAGCATGTGCAAAAAATCAAGAACAAGGGCCTAGCGTGTGAAACAAGGAAAACAGGAATGAAATGACTATGGAAGATTGGGTACAAATACAACCCTAGAGACCCTGTACCCCATATGTGCTACCCCACTATAGCCTACAGAAACTATGTCATATAAATCTGACACACCCCCATAGGCAAAGTGGGGGAGAACAAGGGGTCACAAGACCAGTCAGGTAAAGCAAAGCAGAGCAAGCTCAGGGTGGATCACAACGTCACCACACAGTCCGAGCACAAGAGCAGGGCCAGAGGCCAGTTCACATGCAGGAGTACAGACATATATATATAGAACTAGACAAGCAAGAGCAGGTATAAATATATGTAATAGTACAAGTGAAGTCAAGAGGAGAGCAAGTGAGGCAAGACAGGCACAAGACCCAGCTGGGTGCAAAAGCGCTGATGGTCACAAGGCGTGAGTGCCTTGGTGAACACATCAGCAGTGTTGGCCTCAGAGGCCACGTACGCAAGTCGCAACTGACCACGCTGCTGCAGCTCACGAGCAAGGAAGTAGCGGAGAGCAATGTGCTTCGTTCTGTGCTCCAAGCGCTGCTCTCGACACAAGGCCAGCATGGCCTTGTTGTCTACGTACAGCACTGGAGGAGAACGAGGCGGCTCTCCAAGGTCAGTCAGCAGGTAGGTGAGCCAGCGAAGCTCCTGTGCAGCCATGGCCCCGGCGTAGATCTCAGCCTCACAACTGGAGCCGAGAACCGAAGACGAGCGAGTAGACCGCCACGAGACAGAGCCGGAACCAAGGCTGAAGGTGTAACCCTGTGACGAGCGCTGCGTAGCCTGGTCGTCAGCCCAAGAAGCGTCCGCGTGGCCGGTAAGGACCACTGGACTCCGCCCTCCAAGCACTAGCCCCATGCCCGATGTGCTGCACAGGTAGCGCAATACCCTCTTCGCTGCAGCCATGTGCTCTGGTCTGTGTCTCCCAGGAGCAACATAGCGAGCAAGAATGCTCAGAGGGTATGCAAGGTCAGGTCGTGTGCAGGTCATCAGGTACATGAGGCAGCCAACAAGCTCTGCATACGGGCCACTCGACTCTACGGACTCATCCGAAGGCAGAGCTGAGAGTGAGTGGCGAGTAGGCAGAGGAGTGGCCTGAGGCGAGGAGTACGTGAAGCCGAAGCGCTGAAGGACCTGCTGCACCATGTGTGACTGAGTCAAGGTAATGGTGCGGCGTGCTCTGTCCCGAGTGATCTGCAAGCCAAGGTAGCTGCGCAGTTCACCCAGGTCTGTGCACGTGTGTCTCTTCAGCAGCTCGGACTTCACGTAGGCGAGTCCAGCAGTGTCCGCTGTGGCAAAGACCAAGTCGTCGACGTACACGAGGATGTAGAACGGCGGCAGGGAAGTGTCGGTGCGAAGAAACAGCGACGGGTCAGCAGTAGAAGGAGCAAACCCAAGAGCCGCAAGCGTAGTCCTCAGTGTGTCGTGCCACTCACGCGGTGCCTGACGGAGACCGTAGACTGGCCGTCAGAGGCTCCACTGGGTGCCAGGAGGGAAAGTCCCAGTGAAGCCAGGTGGACGGCGAAGCCAGATCTCCTCGTGAAGGCTACCCTGCAAGAACGCAGTGCTGAAGTCGAGAGAGTGAAGCTCGTAGTCGCGCTGAGCGGCTATGTGTAGCAGCACCCGAAGAGTAGTCATCTTCGGGGTGGGAGAGAAGGTCTGAAAGTAGTCAACTCCCTGCCGCTGACTGAAGCCACGAGCAACGTACCGTGCCTTGAAGACAGGTGGAGAGCCCGGCGGCCGCTTCACCCTGAAGATCCACATGCCACTGACGATGTTTGCCCCAGGAGGGGGAACCGCGTCAACGTAGGTGCCTGTGGACTTCCAGGAAGCCATCTCTGCATCCATAGCTGCCTGCCACTGAGAGGAGTAGGGACCCTCTACGGCCTCCGCGTAAGAACGCGGAGTCGGGATGTCTAGTGCATCCGGGTCTCCCTCAGGGGCAAGCAGTACAGACGCGAGATGAGGTGAAGCAGCCGCTAGACACTGTAACTCCTCCTGCCTGTCCTCTAGGACGTCCGTGCCAAGAGCACACTCACCCCCGACGGACGGAGGACAGACAGACGCAGACTCAGCAACAAGACTAGCAGCGTAGTCGAGACGACAGCGAGCAGCAAAGTCGACGAGCTCAGCGACTAGAGCAGACGCAGCCGTGGACTCAAAAGAGGGGTCAGTGACGACAGTAGCAAGCAGACGCGTGACAGTAGGACTGGCAGCACGAAGAGAGTCCGACTCAGGGTCGGCAAGCGCAGGAAGAGAGGACTCAGGAGGAGAAGGCAAAAGGGGCACGCAGAGGAGCAGTGGACGGACGCAAAGACATCCGGTGCGTGCCAGGGACAGGAGGAGGACGCTGACGCGAACTGCGACCACTAGCGCGAGCAGCACGAACAGGCGACGCGGGACGAGACGCAGGCTCACGACGCTCAGCAAGACCTCCAGTAGGACCAGTGTAAGGACAGGGAGCAGGCAGTGGATAGGAAGGCTCCAGTAGGGACTGCGACTGGACAGGCGGTGGACCCTCTACTGGAGGAGAAAGACCAAGAACCTGCTGCAGGAGCGGAACGAAGTACGGCCGAGGCCGCGCGGCAGCTCCAGACTCAGCAGGGACAGCACCAGTACCCTCAGCGACAGCACCAGCGCCACCCACACCTCCAGCGGCAGGACCAACAGCAGTAGGCTCAGCACCAACGCCCTCAGCAGCTCCAGCTCCAGGAGGACCAGTAGGTCCAGCAGCTCCGGGACCGGCAGCACCCGCACCCTCGACGGTCGAAGAAGCTCCAGCTCCAGCTCCAGCAGCACCTCCAGACTCAGCAGCACGCCTCCAGCGGCGAGCGAACCACTCGCGCAGCTCCTGTGGAGAGAGGGGCTCCCGGCGAGACGCAGCAGCAGGAGAAACCCCAGGCTCAGCAGCTCCAGACGCAGCACCCCCAGGCTCAGCAGCTCTCAGCTCAGCACCCCCAGGCTCAGCAGCTCCCGACCCAGCACCCCCAGACCCAGCACCTCCAGGCACAGCACCCCCAGGCTCAGCACCCCCAGGCTCCGCACCCTCCGCAGTAGCACCCTCAGGCCCAGCACCCCCAACAGTAGTACCCCCAGGCTCAGCACCCCCGCGCACAGCACCCCCAGAGTCAGCACCCCCAGGCTCAGCACCCGCAGCAGCACCAGAGTCACCAGTAACCTCGACCGGGTCAACGGCGTCTACCTGGGACACACCTGAGGGGGCAGGAACCTGAGGGGAGAGGGGGTCTACCGGGGGGGGAACCGGCACAAGGAAGTCCGGGGGAGGGGGGAGGGAAGGAGTGCGGTAGGGGAAGAGACGGTAGAAGGGGACTGACTCGTCGAACGTGACGTCCTGGGAGGACAGAACACGACGAGAGGAGGGGTGGTAAAACTGCCACCCTGGGGCGTCAGTGGGGAAGCCAAGGAAAACACAGGGAGCAGCACGAGGGGACAGCTTGTCCGCAGACAAGTCGCGGACAAACGCCCGAGATCCCCAGACACGGAACACAGACGCATCGCCAACCTTCCCCGTCCACAGCAAGGCTGGGGACATCGCAGGCCGAGAGACCCGGGGGTGAAGGTTGAGCTGATGCGCCGCGTACCTCACCGCAAACGGCCACAGAAAATGGGGGGCAGCCGCATGCATCATGGACGTACGAGCGACATCCATGACCATGCCAATGCGGCGCTCAGCAATCCCATTTTGCTGTGGTGAGTCCGGAAGCGTGAAGGTCTGGCGGATCCCCCGTGCGCGACAGTAGTCTCGCAGAAGGCGAGAAGAGAACTCTCCGCCTCTGTCAGAGTGCAGACGCAGAACAGGAAAGTCCGAGCCGAAGCTCTTCCTGAGCTGGAGACGAGCCTCGCGGATCCAGTCGATCAGCACCTCAGTGACCTCACCCTTGCTGCGCAAGGGGAGGACTGTGGTGTAACGCGAGTAGTCGTCAACCACCAACAGGAAGTAGCGCTCGTAACCCTGCCCACGGACGGGGGCTGGGCCCCACACATCCATGTGAAGCGTCTGCAGGGGAGCCTCTGTCGGGGGGAAGTGGGAGGCGTGAGGAGTAGCCCGGAGGCGACCCTCGACACAGGGGACACAGGAAGGTCCTGGCCCGGAGGGGAGAGGAGGGAGAGACTGGGGAAGACCAGAGACAAGGACACGGGAAGCCATGCTCCGAAGACGGGGCAAGGAGGGGTGGCCAAGACGGTGGTGCCACAGGAGAGTCTCGTGAGACAGGAGGCGACAAGAACAGGGGGCAGACTCAGGACCTGACCGGGACGCAGCAGCAAGTACCTGACCCGACGCAGCCACCTGACCAGACGCAGGGACAGGAGGAGACTCAACGGTCAGGGTGTAGAGACTCGACCTCGGCCGACGCGAGAACGTGGCCAGGTGTCGGCCTGTGCGTGCCTCCGTGCAGTGGGTCACCCGCTGACTCGCAGGAGTGAACTGGTGAACACCCCCATCCTGCAGGTCCGCTCCACTCACCAAGTTTGTGGAGAACGAGGGAAGGTACAGACCCGACAGGGTGCCCGAAGGGGCAGCCGGACACGGGAGGATAGTGGAGAAGTGAGACAGGACAGGACCTCCAGAGGGGTCAGCAAGGGAGACTGCAACCGGCCGGCCGAGCGGCGTAAGGGTAGTGCGGTCTCGAAAGAAGGAGTGAGAAGCTCCGGAGTCAAGTGTGAAAGTGAGGGAGGACGAGGACGACGCAGTACCTGAGAGCGCAGTCTCACCAGTACCTGAGAGCGCAGACGCACTGGCACCTAGAGCAGTAGCCTCACAAGCACCTAGCGCAGCAGTACCAATGCCCGGGTCGGGCTGGAAACAACGGTAACCCTCATTCTCCTCACTATAATCCACAACATACATAGCAGTAAGGATAGCATCAAAATCAAGATCAAAGATCGCTACACCAGCCCTGAGAAGCTCATCCCAGCGAGGGATCTCACTAGCCCCAGGGAACTGCTGACGCCAGGCGTCCGTCAGGCGGCCAAAGCAGCGCTGGGTGGCGTGGGCACCCCCACACTGCTCACCCGCGTGGTCGCCGGAACGAAGAACGTAGGTGCAGGGACCAGTACCCCCACCCCTCTGACGCCCAGCGTACCACTCACGAAGCTGCTGAGGCGAGGGGATGTCCCGCGAGCGCTGCTGCTGCTGCCGGTGCGAGCGCTGGCCACCACCACCGCCGCTACGCTGCTGGGTACCACCCCGACCAGCTCCACCTCCTCCACCACCACTGCCTCCTCCGCTGCCGCCTCCACCGCCTCCACCTCCGCCGCCTCCACCTCCGCCGCTGCCTCCACCACCACCGCTGGCACCACCACCACCGTCTCCGCCGCTGCTGCCACCACCACCACCACCACCCCCGCCACTAGTCCCGCCGCCACCCCCACTCCCTCCGCCGCCACCGCCGCCACCGCCACCGCCCCCTCCAGCTCCACCCGCGCCCTTGCCCCCCTTGCCCTTGCTGGAGCGACGTCTCCCACTAGGGGCAGACGCCGCGCCGACCGACTCAAGACCAAGCAGGTCGGCAGCAGCAGCAGAGGCAACAGAGGGCAGCAAGGGGGAAGGAGAGCACCCCTCAAAGATGGGGGTGCGAGGGTCACCACGAGAAGCACCTACAGCGACTATGCTCTTCTCCGCTGCAAGGAGGGCCTTCTCGAGGAGGTCGACGGTGAGGGTGGTGGGACAGACTGCGAGAAAGTGGTCCCTGACGACGCGAAGGGAGTCAGGGAGGCGCGCGACTACGTAGTAGAGAGCGATGTACATGGGGGGGGGGTTCTTAGCGCAGAACTCGGCAGGAAGGGCGGCGCGGTAGCGAGGGTCACTAGTGCGGAGGTGCGTAATGAGGTCAGCGACAGTGGGAAAGGCAGAGAGGTCAGGAAAGAGGTAGGGAAGCATGAGACGGCTCAGTGCAGCAGTGGCAGGGGAGGAGTAGCGCGCAACTACAGCGTCGTACAAGGTCTGAGCACTCTTGTACTGACTAAAGTGCGCACGCTCAGAGGTAGGGAGGTGGCGACGCACAGCAAGACGTGCAGCAGCATCGCGGGTGGCCCACTTAGAGCGGACAGCGGGATCAGCATCAGCAGCAGGAGCAGGAGAGGCGCCAGAGGTGAGATCAAAGAGAGAAAGGTCGTCAGCCCTGTCGCACTGTAAGAACAGCTGCAGGTCGTCTAACCAGACCTCAAAATCAATGGCGCGACCCTCAGCATCAAAAGCTAGGACACTAGGGGTAGCCATGGCGACGACAGCGACGCAGTGCAAGCAGCAGGGAAAGAGCTCGCAGTGGCAGTGGGACTGTGCTCACCAGGCAGGGCAGGTCGAGTAGGTATGCAGAAAGGCGGCTCAGCGACCTGGCGGCTCAGGTGCTGGGCGGCTCGGGCGCAGGGCGGCTCGGCTCCCAGGCGGCTCGGCTCCCGGGCGGCTCGGCTCCCGGGCGGCTCGGCGGCTGGGCGGCTCGGGTGCAGGGCGGCTCGGCTCCCGGGCGGCTCGGCGGCAGGGCGGCTCGGGGCCCGGGCGGCTCGGCGTCGGGCGGCTCGGCTCACGGGCGGTTCGGCTGGGAGATCCAGGGGCGGGGCCGTCAGGTGCAGCAGCGGGTTGACCGGTGCAGTGGCGGGCCGGCAGGTGCAGCGGCGGGCCGGAAGGTGCAGCGGCGGGCCGGCAGGTGCAGTGGCGGGCCGGCAGGTGCAGGCGGCGGGCCGTAGGGTGCAGTGGCGGGCCGGCAGGTGCAGCGGCGAGGCCGTCAGAGGCGGCGGGCCGGCAGGTGCAGCGGCGAGGCCGTCAGAGGCGGTGGGCCGCTGGGTGCAGCGGCGGGCCGGCAGGTGCAGTGGCGGGCCGGCAGGAGCAGCGGCGGGCCGGCAGGGGAGGCGGCGGAGCCGAGTCAGGGGAGGCGGCAGGGCCGCGTCAGGGGAGGCGGCGGAGCCGCGTCAGGGGAGGCGGCGGTGCCGCGTCAGGGGAGGCGGCGGAGCCACGTCAGGGGAGGCGGCGGGGCCGCGTCAGGGAAGGCGGCGGGGCCGCGTCAAACAGGCGGCGGGGCCGCGTCAGGGGAGGCGGCGGAGCCGCGTCAGGGGAGGCGGCGGGGCCGCGTCAGGGGAGGCGGCGGGGCCGCGTCAAACAGGCGGCGGGGCCGCGATCAGGAGAGGTGGCGGGGCCGCGTCTGAGGGACAGCGGGGCCGCGAGGGAAAAGGCGACCCGAGGGGTCGCTAAAAAAAGGCGCGCCTCGGGGCGCGCTTCGGTGGGCCCTAAAAAACGGTCCTAAGGTAGGACCCGCTCTATACCATGTGAAACAAGGAAAACAGGAATGAAATGACTATGGAAGATTGGGTACAAATACAACCCTAGAGACCCTGTACCCCATATGTGCTACCCCACTATAGCCTACAGAAACTATGTCATATAAATCTGACATAGCGTTCACGAAATAGCAAGAGCAAGGGCCTAGCGTGTGCAAAATAAAAAGAACAAGGGTCTAGCATGTGCAAAATTGCAAGAACAAGGGCCTAGCGTGAGCAAAATAAAAAGAACAAGGGCATAGCGTGTGCAAGATAGCGAGAACAAGGGCCTAGCTTGTGCAAAATAAAAAGAACAAGGGCCTCGCGTGTGCAAAAGAAAAAGAAGAAGGGCCTAGCATGTGCAAAATTGCAAGAACAAGGGCCTAACATGTGCAAAATTGCAAGAACAAGGGGCTAACGAGTGCAAAATAGCAAGAGCAAGGGCCTAGCATGTGCAAGAAATCAAGAAAAAGGGCCTAGCGTTCGCGAAATAGCAAGAACAAGGGCCTAGCGTGTGCAAAATAGAAAGAACAAGGGGTTAGCATGTGCAAAATTGCAAGAACAAGGGCCTAGCGTGTGCAAAATAAAAAGAACAAGGGCATAGCGTGTGCAAAATAGCAAGAACAAGGGCCTAGCATGTGCAAAATATAAGAACAAGGGCCTAGCGTGTGCAAAATAATAAGAACAAGGGCCTAGCGTGTGCAAAATTGCAAGAACAAGGGCCTAGCGTATGCAAAATTGTAAGAACAAGGGCCTAGCGAGTGCAAAATAGCAAGAGCAAGGGCCTAGCGTGTGCAAAAAAAACAAGAACAAGGGCATTGTGTTCGCGAAATAGCAAGAACAAGGGCCTAGCGTGTGCAAAATAAAAAGAACAAGGGCATAGCGTGTGCAAAATAGCAAGAACAAGGGCCTAGCGTGTGCAAAATAAAAAGAACAAGGGCCTAGCGTGTGCAAAATAGCAAGAACAAGGGCCTAGCGTGTGCAAAATTGCAAGAACAAGGGCCTAGCGTGTGCAAAATTGCAAGAACAAGGGCCTAGCGAGTGCAAAATAGCAAGAGCAAGGGCCTAGCGTGTGCAAAAAATCAAGAACAAGGGCCTAGCGTTCGCGAAATAGCAAGAGCAAGGGCCTAGCGTGTGCAAAATAAAAAGCACAAGGGTCTAGCATGTGCAAAATTGCAAGAACAAGGGCCTAGCGTGTGCAAAATAAAAAGAACAAGGGCATAGCGTGTGCAAGATAGCAAGAACAAGGGCCTAGCTTGTGCAACATAAAAAGAACAAGGGCATAGCGTGTGCAAGATAGCAAGAGCAAGGGCCTAGCGTGTGCAAAATTGAAAAAACAAGGGCCTAACGTGTGCAAAATTGCAAGAACAAGGGCCTAGCAAGTGCAAAATAGTAAGAGCAAGGGCCTAGCATGTGCAAAATTGCAAGAACAAGGGCCTAGCGAGTGCAAAATAGGAAGAGCAAGGGCCTAGCGTGCGCAAAAAATAAAGAACAAGGGCATAGCGTTCGCGAAATAGCAAGAGCAAGGGCCTAGCGTGTGCGAAATAAAAAGAACAAGGGCATAGCGTGTGCAAAATAGCAAGAGCAAGGGCCTAGCGTGTGCAAAACAAAAACAACAAGGGCATAGCGTGTGCAAAATAGCAAGAACAAGGGCCTAGCGTGTGCAAATTAAAAAGAACAAGGGCCTAGCGTGTGCAAAATCAAAACAACAAGGGTCTAGCATGTGCAAAATAGCAAGAGGAAGGGCCTAGCGTGTGCAAAATAAAAAGAACAAGGGCATAGCGTGTGCAAAATAGCAAGAACAAGGGCCTAGCGTGTGCAAAATAAAAAGAACAAGGGCCTAGCGTGTGCAAAATAAAAACAACAAGGGCCTAGCGTGTGCAAAATTGCAAGAACAAGGGCCTAACGTGTGCAAAATTGCAAGAACAAGACCTAGCGAGTGCAAAATAGCAAGAGCAAGGGCATAGTGTGTGCGAAAAATCAAGAACAAAGGCATAGCGTTCGCGAAATAGCAAGAACAAGGGCCTAACATGTGCAAAATAAAAAGAACAAGGGTCTAGCATGTGCAAAATTGCAAGAACAAGGGCCTAGAGTGTGCAAAATAAAAAGAACAAGGGCATAGCGTGTGCAAAATAGCAAGAACAAGGGCCTAGCATGTGCAAAATACAAGAACAAGGGCCTAGCGTGTGCAAAATAAAAAGAACAAGGACCTAGCGTGTGCAAAATTGCAAGAACAAGGGCCTAGCATGTGCAAAATTGCAAGAACAAGAGCCTAGCGAGTGCAAATAGCAAGACCAAGGGCCTAGCGTATGCAAAAAATCAAGAACAAGGGCCTTGTGTTCGCGAAATAGGAAGAACAAGGGCCTAGCGTGTGCAAAATAAAAAGAACAAGGGCCTAGCGTGTGCAAAATAAAAAGAACAAGGGCCTAGCGTGTGCAAAATTGCAAGAACAAGGGCCTAACGAGTGCAAAATAGCAAGAGCAAGGGCCTAGCATGTGCAAAAAATCAAGATCAAGGGCCTAGCGTTCGCGAAATAGCAAGAACAAGGGCCTAGCGTGTGCAAAATAAAAAGAACAAGGGTCTAGCATGTGCAAAATTGCAAGAACAAGGGCCTAGCGTGTGCAAAATAAAAAGAACAAGGGCATGGCGTGTGCAAAAAAAAAAGAACAAGGGCCTAGCGTGTGCAAAATAGAAAGAACAAGGGCCTAGCGTGTGCAAACTTGCAAGAACAAGGGCCTAGCGTGTGCAAAATTGCAAGAACAAGGGCCTAGCGAGTGCAAAATAGCAACAGCAAGGGCCTAGCATGTGCAAAAAATCAAGAACAAGGGCCTAGCGTCACGAAATAGCAAGAGCAAGGGCCTAGCGTGTGCAAAATAAAAAGAACAAGGGTCTAGCATGTGCAAAATTGCAAGAACAAGGGCCTAGCGTGAGCAAAATAAAAAGAACAAGGGCATAGCGTGTGCAAGATAGCAAGAACAAGGGCCTAGGTTGTGCAAAATAAAAAGAACAAGGGCCTAGCGTGTGCAAAATAAAAAGAAGAAGGGCCTAGCATGTGCAAAATTGCAAGAACAAGGGCCTAACGTGTGCAAAATTGCAAGAACAAGGGCCTAACGAGTGCAAAATAGCAAGAGCAAGGGCCTAGCATGTGCAAGAAATCAAGAAAAAGGGCCTAGCGTTCGCGAAATAGCAAGAACAAGGGCCTAGCGTGTGCAAAATAGAAAGAAAAACGGGTTAGCATGTGCAAAATTGCAAGAACAAGGGCCTAGCGTGTGCAAAATAAAAAGAACAAGGGCATAGCGTGTGCAAAATAGCAAGAACAAGGGCCTAGCATGTGCAAAATATAAGAACAGGGGCCTAGCGTGTGCAAAATAATAAGAACAAGGGCCTAGCGTGTGCAAAATTGCAAGAACAAGGGCCTAGCGTATGCAAAATTGTAAGAACAAGGGCCTAGCGAGTGCAAAATAGCAAGAGCAAGGGCCTAGCGTGTGCAAAAAAACAAGAACAAGGGCATTGTGTTCGCGAAATAGCAAGAACAAGGGCCTAGCGTGTGCAAAATAAAAAGAACAAGGGCATAGCGTGTGCAAAATAGCAAGAAGATGGGCCTAGCGTGTGCAAAATAAAAAGAACAAGGGCCTAGCGTGTGCAAAATAGCAAGAACAAGGGCCTAGCGTGTGCAAAATTGCAAGAACAAGGGCCTAGCGTGTGCAAAATTGCAACAACAAGGGCCTAGCGAGTGCAAAATAGCAAGAGCAAGGGCCTAGCGTGTGCAAAAAATCAAGAACAAGGGCCTAGCGTTCGCGAAATAGCAAGAGCAAGGGCCTAGCGTGTGCAAAATAAAAAGAACAAGGGTCTAGCATGTGCAAAATTGCAAGAACAAGGGCCTAGCGTGTGCAAAATAAAAAGAACAAGGGCATAGCGTGTGCAAGATAGCAAGAACAAGGGCCTAGCTTGTGCAAAATAAAAAGAAGA